CCTCCTGGTGCCCAACACATCCACCCTGGGCTGGCTGCTGCCTTATCTAGAGCCACAGCATTATGGTATCTAACGCTACGACCGGGCATAGCCATCACGGTCCCAGTGCTGGCGAGGAGCACATCTCCTCCTCCTCCTGCAACCTCTGACCGAGGTGGTGGACCAGCCATTGAAATGGCTACAGAAGCCACGTTCTCCATTTTATTTTAAAAAATTCATAAATTTCCCACAGGACAGTAAGTGAAGGAGCAGGGCAGCAGTGCTGGATGTTGTGACCTCTCCCTGCCTTGCTCAGCAAGGCAAGGGTCCACACTGGGGTGAGAAGGGGTAGGTGCTGTTACAAATGGACATGGTTGCCAAAGGGGCTAAGACCAGACCACATCAGCTGGACCATGTCACTGAAAATCTTCTCATGGCTTCCTCCTTTTGGGGCTTCTTTTTCTGGTAGCAAAGGAACTGTTTGGTGAGAGTCAATCTCTGCCCACAACAAGTCCAGCAAAGCTTCACCTTCAACATCCTAACAGCACTGCCCCATGCTGCAGATGATATTACCCGTCAGTCCCTCCACCTCCCAGATCAGCAGCATCCCCTCTCCCAGACCACCAGCACCAGTAACACCAGACTTCTCCACTCAAGTTCAGTAACACCACACAAGGAGGAGCTACAGGAATCAATCAAAAAAAAAAGCAGTGGGGATTTGCTGCTGGCTAAATTACACCAGACAGCCCGGTGAGACTGGTGCTGACATCCCAGAGGTAAGGGAGGGGGGAAAAGAGAGGTCATTCCATGAGTGGCAGCACTAGGCTGCTGCCTAGTCAGTGTATCACTTGTCCTTCTCCTTCTCTGCTGATATTCTTCACCATCTGCATCCCTACTTCATCGGATGACGGGTGCCGAGCGGTCATTGGTGACTGTGGGACGCAGCTTGACCGTGGCAAAGGGGTTGGTACCTCTGGAAAGGGAAGAGAAACAGACAACCATCAGAAAATATGCATATGCCATGCAGGGATCCTTCTGACCAAGCAAAGGCTATTTAGTCCTGTTGGACAATCACCTCTGTACCAAAGAGGAGAGTGTGGTAAAGTTCATTGCAGAGTATGTTTTCTCCCTCCCTATCACACTCTGCTGCAGGTTCCCATGTGGTTCCCCTTGGGCTCTCCTCAGGGCTTCTCACCCTCCTTCTTCTAGGGACACTGCTAGGGACACTAGCACATTGCCGTTGCTTGTAATGGCACTCTACACTTGTAGCCCCTGACCCTACAAGCAAGGTGCCAGGGAGCAGAAAGAGGTCACAGCACCACACCAGAAACATGGAGATACCAACCCAGCTGCAGGGGGAAGGAAAGCAGGGATGTATGGCAAATCTCATCTCCACAGACCTGACTCATCAAAACTAAAAGCCATGTACCTTATGTCTCAGCCCTTTCCAAGTAGGTAGAGCTGCACAGTCGTGTAGCTCCACACTCAGGCTGTGAGCTGCTATTGTGGCTCTTCCAGAATGGATGGGAAGGAGCATGCAGGCCTGGACATATGCTCAGGGTGCTCAGGTCCTGCCTCATTTTATTAGAGTTAGGATAGAGCCTTCCCAGTCAGCAGAGGCCAGAATGAACCACCTCTGTCTCCCGTCCTAGAAGGTGGGTAGCACATTGCATTCCTTCAGGCACTTCCCTGTTCCTCCCACATTTGATTATCAAAAATATAAAAAAATAATAGTAGTGTAATAATGCTTCCTGCTGTCTGATGATTCCAGAGTGGAGCTTCACATCTCACTCACCGTGGGAAGAGTTCAGGGGGCTGGTCAAATGTTCCCGATTTCTGCAGTGAAAAGAAAAGCAGCAGTGAGCAATCTGGGGTGGGGATTGGAGACAGAAAAGTGGGGCAGGAGGCACTGCACACATGGAGGAAGATTCCATAAAACACTTAGATGAGTCAAGAGCCAAAGTCCTATTAATAGAGCTTTGATTCATTCAAGCTTTGCAAAACCCCACAAATTCCCTGCTATAGGTAACACCCTGAATTTTGTAGTGGTGGGGTTGTCCCTACACCACAGGTTCCTTATTCTTCTAGGGCACCTCCCTTTGTCTTTGGGAAGAAATAGATGGCGCAGATTCCCAAAGTGTCACATCTGAAGAGCACAGCAAACAGTGACAGTCTGAGCTACATTTCACCCAGCCAGCACAGCCAGAGATGCCCCCTCATGTTGCCCACACACCCTGGCAAAGAGTTTATCATCATGTGCTTCCTGCATCCACAGGGGACTCAAGAGCTATACCTATCTACCCTACATCACATCTTGCTTAAATGTGTACAAACCTGATAGAGAATGATGGACCGTAGGCCCTGTGGCCCTTATTCTTGGCCAGTGGATAGTGAAGGGTCAGGGACAAGTGGCCTGCTAAAGTACACCATTTTTTGTAGCTGGTGGCAGACAAGAAAGCCACACGTGGCTCTCTGTGATCCAGTTGGGAAGTCAAACACACATCCATTTGCTCATGGCTCAACTGGAGGATGCCTTAGGTGCACATTTAAAGCAAGGCTGAGTCTTTCCAAACTTCTAATGAAGCTCAATCACTCTGCTATGCTACTCCAAATACTTCATTGCTCAATCCCAGGTCTATACCTACACCCTAGCCCTGGGACTGGATGAAAACCAGTGACCCAGAGGAACAGAGAGGCTGCACAGCCTGTTCCCCTGTGTTGTGCAGCCTGAGGCTACCTGAAACCACAGAACAAGACATAAAGGGGAAAAAAGACTAATTAAATGATGCAGTTTTCAGCTCTTTGAGCCATCTGATTGCGTGCAACCTCGCACTGGCCTGGAGCCAGCAACCAGAGATGAGGTTTCGCAGCCCTCTATGAGACAGAGCAAGTAATGCCCCATGAGCAGCACCATTCTTCCCTCTCCCAGGTCCTCACCTTGAACTGTTCTCAACTGTTCTTTGTTCTCTCCAGTCAGTTCCCCAGAACCAGAAGCAGTGATAAGTGGAGGGTTAATAAGCCTTGGGCTAGAAACAACTTGTTCTAAGCACAATGGCTGTGCCCTCGACCTTTGCTCCCAACTTTTCCTTATCCCAGGTGTGACTTTAATCCAACCCTTGCCTAAATGTAGAGGAGGAGCCATATGAAGCTCCCCTCCATTCTCTGAAGGGAGAAGAAGGATGGCATCTCTGTTAGCTGGTCACCCACTCCCAGCCTGGCCTGATCACTCCATGGTCCTACTATTAGCAGAAAGAGGTGCTGCCCTGGAGCCACCAGAAATCAGGCTGGGAGGTCATGGAGAAAAGGACTGAACTGAAGGGTCCCTGGTGAGCAAAAAGAGAGAGAAATGAGAAGGGCAGGGGCAGAAAAACAGAAAAAGTGTGTCTTGGAGGACAAAAGTCAGATGTGACCCACTCCACATGCACCCACCAGTCACTCCTGCACTCACCTTGGAGACAGAACTGGCTGGGGTGGCTGTCCCACTCTGGTGACTGCTGGCACCCACCGAGAGGGGAGGTGGGTTCGGCACACTGGGCTGGGGAGCAGCAGGCCAGTAATTGCTAGAGGAAGAAGTGTTGGGATGGTCCAGGATGTCATCCATACTGTGACTGCTTCGCAGTGGGAAGGACCTAAGCAAGAGGAGAAGACAGTGGAATGTGAGTTGAAGAGCAAGGAATAGGGAGCAGCACAGGTGCTAGCCACAACATGGGATGTCTCTGAAGGAAATAGACATGGGCTGGACTGGTCTGGTCACAAGAGCCTTTGAGAAGACATTGCATGTGTTAGGGGAGCCACCTAGAGAAGCCTGTGAGGTCTCAGGGCATAATGAGGCTCTTGGCAGATACTCCAGCATGGGAGCCCTGCAGCTTTACATGGGGCACACCCAAAACAATTACCCCACTGGCACTGCTGACGTACCAGGAGCCACTCCAGCTCCTGCCAGGCTAATTGCCCTCCTGTTACCTGGTGTCTGGCTCCTCCACCTCCCTCGCATCCTCCAGAGGCTTGACATAAGCTTCAGGGAACCAGCCGCACCTTGGGCACAGGAACAGAGACAAATGAGGTTCATGCAACAATGCTCTGTGGTTCTTCAGATCCAGCAGCCCAGCAAGCCTGATCTATGCCCATCCCACACATCAACCAAGCCACTGCTGCTGTTCCCACATGTGACAGTGTTCCTGCACATCTTTGACCCACAGGTGTGGCATGGGGTTGTTGTGAGAAAGACTTTGAGCTTGGAGCAGGACTTGCTTATCTCAGGGGCCATGCAAAATCTGTGCTCCTGGCAGCAATGCCAGGGCAGTCCAGGAAGAGATCCTCCAATCAACCACAATCACAAGGAAGCTGTGAAAAATGCTTCCAGGGATTTCACAGCAAGTCCACTCCAGAAACCACCCCACAAAGGAAAGCATTGCTCTTGTTCATCTCACATCTCAGTGTGAGCATTCCGGCAGAGCACGGTACAGGGATCCCATACAGAATGGGGCAGCCTTTGCACAATAGGCGTCGGCCGGCAGTGCCACAGGGAGTAATTCAGTAAGCACTGGGTGCAGCAGTTTCCATGCCCTGCCTGTGCTGGAGGCTGTGGCAGCAGCTGCAGCGTGAGCTGAGAAATACCAGGCCTCTCAGGTAACTCCAGTAGTTCATGGCCCTGAACTGGATCCCATGACAGGAGTCACTCAGTCATGCAAGCCAGGAGGGGGCCACTGCATCACTGCCTCTTCCCCCTAAAGCCCCTGGAGCTTCTTCAGGCAGTTCACCCACACTAGCCCTGCCCAACCACGTCTCCTCTGCTTGGAGAGCCTCCAACACTGAGGACATGGCAATGTCCAGCTGAAATGGTGGGTGAGACACAGTGCCCAGGCCACACAAGGAGGGAAGGGGGGTGATAATTTTGGCCTTAACCCTCCCAGCTCCAGACCCCACAAGCCTGCATCAGGCCAACTGACACTCCAAAGTCACATACGTGGACGAGCCCTCCAATCTGCCATACAACCAGCCGTTCTGCGCGTCTGGCATCAGCACAGTGATGACATCCCCGGAGTCAAATCGCAGCAGAGTCCGGTTGACTCCCGTTGTGTGGGGCACGATAGCCTGCACTCTTGTCTTGCCACTCTTCTTGCCTTCACTGCTGCTGCTGGCCTCGCCAAAGGAACCCGAACGGGAGGTACGGCCGGTAGGGAGCAAACCTGTGGGAAGGCATTTGAGGGGTCCCTCAAAGGGACCAGTGCTTTCCCAGTCAAGTAATTACTCTAGAGGAGGAGTAAATGGCCTTTCTCTCAGGGAGAGAGCAGGGCTTAGCATGGGCAAAGCATGGTAAATATCTTGCAGGAGAAAATCAAGCCAAGCTGAAACCACCTGCTTTGCACTATTTGACCAAATGTCTAGAACACAGGTACTGCATGCTCTGGTGATGCCCTGGCTGACAGCCCTCTTCCCAGCTTCACTAGAGCTACCGACTGTGTAATTTTTTCTCTCCCCCTGCCCTTTTTTACCTTTTTAAACACATAGGCTGATATATTTCAGGAAGGAAAAGCAGGTGAGACGTAAGTGACTGAGTTTTGCAGTACAAGCTAATAGTTAATCTGGTAGCATAAGGGAAGGTGCTTTACTCAAGTGTGAACTCCAGCAAGAACCAGTGCTTATGGTTCAGAGTCTTGAAAATTGCATTTGTGGGGGTTCCCCACATCACACTGCCAGCCAGAAAGCCTGGCCTTGCCCTGGATGGACCCTGCCCTAAGGCTGAGCTCACCTTCTTCTTCAGCCTTGCCCTCTCCAGCTCCCATAGGCACCGCCCTCTCAACATGCCCAGTAATGCAGCTGAGGACTGGTAGTCTGATAGAGTGGTGGTCCCTTCACAAACCCAACCCTCTTCTCAGAGAGGTCCAACCCCTGTGTCTCCCCACAGCACTGCTCCCAGATATGGGTCATACTGGCTGATGGTGTCCTCCGCAGTGGCCGCCTGGGGGACTCTGATTGAGGAGACAGTCTCACTTCTGGTGAGTCCGGAGAGAAGATGCTGGATCTACTCCCAGTCATAGAAGAAGCAAAGTCCCCAAGGGGTCTCTGGGGCTGTTGGAAGGAAAGGAGGATGAACATACATCCACAGGGGCTGTGTTAGGCAGAAGATGTTCTGAGAGATATGCAGTCCTTCTCAGAAAGCCAAAAGGTTCCCCCATTGCAGCCCATATATATATGCTTCTCTTGGCCAGGAAAAGCCATAGAAGCTGGACAAGGCAGCAAATACCATGGTTGGCCAAGGATTGGCCTTACTCTGCAGCCTCACCACCACAGAATCATGGAACAGTGTGCGTTGGAATGGACCTTTAAAGGCCATCTTGTCCCAGCCCCTGCAATAAACAGGGACATCTTCAACTAGATCAGGCTCCACCCAACCTGACCTTGAATGTTTCCAGGGATGGGGCATCCACCACCTCTCTGGGCAACCTGTTTCACCATTGCACCAAACAAGGTAAAGCTGTGTGTGGGCTTCTCACCATCTCGAGGTGGCTGGGTGTGTATGGTCCTGCTGGATACCCCTGGCTGTGGGAGACTGCCAGCAGCCCATGTGAGTGGCTGTTTGAGGGGTTCCTGCTGGCCTCCAGCTGCTCCTTCCACCGTGGTGCCTTTGTTTGGATCATGCTTCGAGCCTGGGGAGAAAGAGAGAGGTGGGGGTGATGGACAGGGCAGCACAGCTACAGAGGGAGCCTAGGGCTGACATGTGTGTTAGATAAGAGACCAGGTCCTCCCACAATTAGGTTTGTGGGAATACCCAAATGGTGTCCTGCAGGAGTGAATTTCCAGGACGGCATCCTCCAGCAGAAACCCCATGGCCACAAAGACCCTGATATAAACACCTGCATCACTCTTCCCTCCGCAATCACTCACACACCTAACTAGCCCCATGTCAGTGCCAATATCAACCCAAGCCATGTTCTCCCATCCTAGTACAGTCAGCCTGAACCTCACAGCAAGAAATGAAATAGTTTCCTGCCCAGTCCATGCGCTGACATTGCCTTCACCTAAGGGGTGTCTCAGCCCTTACTCCCTCCTCTCTGCATGCCCTCCCTCCAGCCATGCTGCCTGTTCCCCCAGCTCAGCTCCCTGGTACATCAGGGCTGTACCCTGCTGTAAAACTGGAGGAGAGTGTTGTAGAGCAGCTGGTGCTTTTCAGCCAGGAAGCGATAGCGGCGTTTCTCCTCCAACTCGGCCTCCCTCTGGCTCTCAGAGAGAAATGCCTGCATCTCTGAGCGCACTTGCATCACATTCTCCTGCATGACAGGGCAAAAAGGGAGGAAGAGGTCAGTGCAAATCCAGCAAAGTGGGCTCAGCCCATCAGCTTCCCAGTCCACTCCCAGTGCTGAAGCAGTACAGAGAAGCTAGGGAGTGCAAGGGATTAGGTCCTTGCACAATGAGGCTTCCTAAATTCCTCAAAGGGAATTGCAAGAGTGCAAGAGTGAGCACCCCAGGTCAGTAGCAGCCTGTAGAATAGAAGTTTCCTACTTTCTAGATAAGCCTGCTGCCTTTTGAACATCAGGGGAAAGTCCTTGGCTAAGGTAGCTGACGAATCAGCCCTAGCCCCAGAGAAACCATCCAGGTTTCTTTTCCACCTCCCTGCAATCACTGCTTACCTTCATCTCCCGGGCATTTTTATCACGAGCCCTCTCCATTCTCCACAGTTCTGACATGCACTTATCCAGTTTGGCGGCTCTGCGCTGGTACTCCAGTTCATACTGGGTCTGGCTCTCCTGTCAGGGAGAAACCAGGCTCAGTGAGGAACCAAATCCCCAGCCACACTGTGATACAGAAGGAGTTCTGGTCTGATGTGTGGTTGGACTGCTGAGTCCAGCTGAAATCCAGCTTCACTGGGATCTCTGATAACAGGTCTTTCTCTTCATTTTGAATGGCCCCAGAGTGCTGATGAACCTCAAGATCTCAGGAGTAAGAACTGACACCCAGGTCCCCCAGCACTGGGAGCAGGACCCCAGGCCTTTGCCTCCCTCCATGACACTACCCAACAGCATGGCCAGCTGGGTTACAATGGCACAGGACCCACAGCCATGCAGAGGCTGTGGTTTGGGGAAGCTGGGAACTCTGCTTTTGGGATGCCGGGCCTCTCAGCCCTGTTGAAGCATTTGGCAAGTCCCACTGCATAAAGAACAGCCACCTGCCCTCTTTAGCCCTCCATCATCAGCCAAACAATGGGGTTTGCTCCATGATGGGAGAAGTTAAGCTCCCTTAACTTTTGCTGAGGAAAGTCAAGGAAACACCTCAAGTGTTCAAGCAAAAACCCTTGGCTGGAGGGGAGTAGGAAACAAGGAAGGCTAAGTAGGAGAAGGGAGTTCATCACTCACACTGATGAACTGTACATCCATTTTGCTGTTCTTCTCCATGTGCTGCAGCAGGTCCACATGGAAAGTCTGAGCCTGAAAGAGGTGAAGGAGCCATCACTCTCATCCCTTTGCTATATGGAATGTTGCATACACTGTGGTGAGGGGCAGCTCATAAAACTTGCTGAGCTAGTGACTCCCTTGGCACTTAGATGCACCGCCAGGCTCTGTAACACTCCTCTGCCACCTGCAGCAGGGATATCTGGGAGGCAGCACCTGCCTTCAGGCACGTGTGAGGGCAGGTGAATTCACTAGACACTGATAAGCTGTGGTTAAACAAGTCCCATTATTCCCCACCTTCACCAGCCCTCGTGAAAATGACTCACCACAACTTCCATGTCAGAGCTCAGCAGTCTCTGCATGTCAGACATCTGCATCAGAATTTCACCTTCAAGGAAAAAGGAGAAGGTGAAAAACTCCTGGGGCCATTTTCTTATGTGCCCAGAAAGGCAGAGCAGCAGTGCACAACTCAGGCTGATAATAGACGCATGGATGTGAAAGTGCAAGAGATATTGCAAAGCACTGCTCTCTGTACCCTGAGAGAGGCTGTTTGCCTTCTTCCCCAGACACTGCCAACATGAGGTTGCTCCAGCCCACAAAGCTGCTGGACCAGCACACTCTGCTACAATCCCAGGTGCCAGCAGGAAGCTTCACCTCTGCTGTGGGCTCTGGGTGCTGGGTTTTTGCTCTGCTACAGCATCTACAGACCCCATTTCTAACCCCAATGGCACCCTAGCTGTGGTGCATGATTCTGGCTGTCCCTTCAGAAAGCAGATGCTGCTGCTGCTGTGCACGGTCCTGCTTCACTCAGGGTTGGTATTATGAAATCAGGAAAGGAACCGACTGATGACAGGGAGCAGAGAAGCTAGCTGAGAGGTGCAGATGGCAACAGGAGTCTTCAGAAGGGACACATCTGCTGGAAGCTTTTTACTCAAATGTTTAGTAGATCAGTTCCCCAGAAATATTTTCAGCAGTCATTAGGCTGCAGAGTTATTTGTGCTGCTGAGTGTAAGCCCCTCAGACCCAGACCGCTATTCCAGCTGGCTACAGGCACAGGAGGACAAGACCCCATCAGCAGTTGCCAGTGCATGCTCTCCAGCTTTTCTCTCATGCCCCCAAGGAGGAGCAAAATGGTCCCTCCATGCTAAAAATTTCATAATGGGGCAGGTTGTCTCATCTGGGACTGGCTTCCGTGAGAGGTCCATCACTGGAGGTCCATCCCAGGAGCTGGGCTCAGTCATTGAGAGAGATACAGGGGAGAGTGCTGGGGCTGTGGAGGATTTTCAAGGACACACAATAAATTTAATTCTCACTACGTGGACAAAGCCTGGTACAGTGAGACACCGTTTATAGAAGATGCCTTTCTTCTCCTAATACCTGGAAAGGAACCAGCTAAGAGGGAAAAGTCAAAAAACTGTAACTGTGGCTCATCACAGGACAGAGGATGATGTGCAGGAGAGTCTTACCTAGCATGTGTGAGGAGGAGCTCTGCAGTGCTTGCTCCCCAATCTTCTCAATTGCCTTAAAATACACTTCAGCTGCTTTGGATAATGCTGTGAGGAGACAAGAGGGGAGGTAAGGGTCTGGCCTGCCTTCCCACCATCACCAGCCCCAGGAAGCATCACACAGAACAGTCACTCCTGGTACTTTGTCTATAGGCAAGTGCACCCCATGTCTCCCCATCTGTGGCTAATAACAGCAGCAGGTCCTAGGGCAGAAACACGCTTAAGAGCAGCTCAGGACGCCAGAGGTGGCAGATCACCAACCCTGCCCTGGGTGATGGCACAGCAAATGCCCAGGACAGATGCAGCAGTATGATCTGGAGCCCTGACTATCCAGGACCCCACTCACCATGGAACGCACGCAGGTAGTTGTTCCCCAGGTACACCAGGTTCTCCAGCGCAGGGTTGAACTGCTGCAGGATATTCTGTGGCCAGGCAGAAGCATTGTTAACACCTCTTCCCCATACTTCAGAGACCTCAGCATGTCAATGCCCTCCCGCTGTGGTTTGGCTGGGTTGGAGCTCCTCCAGCCACACCACTGGATTGCTGTGGTGATGTACAGCCGAGCACAAAGTCAGCTCGTTGTGTCCGAGTTAGCTAGAAACTTTGACTGTCCTAGTCTTCCAAAGCCAGCCAGGAGAGCAGCAGTGCCAGAGGGAAAGGCAGCCCACGGCAGAGCCAAGGGGTTGCCTGAATGAAGTTGGCCTTCTCCCAAGGTCCCACACCCTCTGCAGGCAGGGGAGTAACTACAAAGGGACCTGAGCAGCATTTTCCCTCACCTCTGAGCCAGCCTGGGTGAGGACCACTGCTTATTAACCAGGCATGAACACAACTCTTCCCTGGCCAGGATGTGGTGCACTGCCAGACTCAGCAGCTTAGTAAGAGAAGGGATGGATTTCTTCAGACAAGCCTCTCTGCTTTTACTTGCTGTATTTATCAAAGGTGTTCACTGATTACAGAGAAGACCAGAGGTTGGAAAAAGCAATTCCCCCTTCTGCCAGCCCTCACCACCTTTTTTCAGCAATGTTGTGTGTAGTGAAGCATTTAAGAGATCAGACTGCTCTTCTCCAGTGAGGGGGAGAACAGCAGATCAAACACTCCTTTCTATGGGCCACCAAGGTGTGTCACTCTTCATGCTCCATGTCCAAACCACCCTGGTTGCCCAACTCCTTCCCGGATCTGCCTTTAGGACCCACACCACCCTTGCCTCCTGCCAGCCATCTGCTTTCAAACACAGCCCAGACCCCATAGAAGCTGATGCAGTTCAGCTAGGGAATGGATTCAGCCCTCAGCTGTCCACCCAAGGGAGCCGTTGGCTGAAAACAGCTCTTCTCCCACCTAAGTCTCCCCTACGCAGACAGGAGCAATCTTCAATGCTGACACTCACCTTATAGATGGAGATGGTGGATCTGTAGGACAGATCCATCTCTGGAGCCTATTCCCTCTCCCCCAGGGAAGCAAGGAGCAAAGGAGAGCACAAGGTGCTATACTGGCCTGGATAATTCTGCTTCTGCACAGCCGGCTGGATGGAAAGAGCTCGTTACGGGCGAGGAAGGACAGCAGGAAGACACAGACGTGGTACAAAGGGAATGGAGCACTGCTGGAGTTTAATAATTCACCAGCTGAGGAGCTGGAACTTGATCTTTGGAAGTAACCGGACCCTGGGAGAGAGGAATCCTGCGACAGCCAGCAAGACCATGTGACAGTTTCCTTGCATTATTGATTGCAGGTTGTTACCCATCTCTCCCTGCCCTGACACCTGCGGAGCAGGCCACCTGCCCAAGTAACTGCCTGATGGCTCGCTGCCTCCGGCACTGCCACTGCTCAGAGGTGCCTTGTTCAGACTTGCTGTGCTAGTGGAGCATCTTCAGGTCTCTCTTGTGCAGGCATCTCACTAGCCAGGAGAGCTTTTGAGGCAGCAAATAGCAGCAAGCAGAGGGGAATGTGAGAAAAGCTCAAAATAAATTGCAGCTCTTCCCTGACCACTATTCCCCCACCCTAGGCTTCAACCCTCTAGCTTTTAGCCTCCCTCCCACTCTGAGTCTCAGTGAGACCCCCCCTAATGACAGGGACAAGGTTCTGTCTGAACCTTTTCTGAGTTTCACTTCTGGTGAGCCAGGACCAGCACTGTGATTGCTCCCAGGAACACACCTGGCAGAGAAGGACAAAGCAGAACCCAATCAGAGCCTCCTCTGACAGCACCCATCCCAGTCCCAGGGCAGGGGGCACAGGGCTCCCAGCCTTTTGCTCAGGATGGGTCTGGAGGTCTCCGGGGGACACAGTGCTGCAGCCTGGCTCAGGCAGGTGAGGAGCTGATGAATGCAAACTGGGCTGCACTGCCTGCAGCCCACACACTCCCCAGCATCTACTGGCAGCAGAGGAGCAGGGCAGGCTGTTCACTGCTCCCCAGATCAAGGGCACAACAGCTGAGCATCTCACAGGGCCCTTGCCCTGAGCCATTATATTAATGTCAGAGCTTACAGAAGGACTAGAGGTCAGCCAGGTCCCATATGTCTTCGGGAGGTGACAAAGGTGGGTACAGCCCTCTATGCCAGCCCCAGCAGGACAGGAAGGGTATCCTCTCCGCCTGGCACCTTCCTTAGTCAGACTGGATACACCAAGCTCATCCTTGGCCAGCACTGGCACCGATAGCTGGGAGAAGGCATTGTCACAGCTCACACATATGATTACTTCATAGCCTCCTAAAGGTTTCTGACCACCCCCACTCCCCTTTCCCCAGCTGCAGGAACAGGTCCACAATTTCTAGAGACTTTGGATTTCTGGCTCAGGCAGCAGCCAGCTCCAAAAGAAGAGGAAAGAGAATCTAAGGAGCTTCTGATCACTGAAACCATGCACAGCAGCAGTGGGATCTCTGCTCCTCACCCTTCCCCCCTCTCCAAGAAGAGGCAAAAGAAGCAGATGCAACACAAGGGCTTTGCTCACATCTGGTTCTTGCTGTTACATCTATTGGAAGGAATGAGCACACTGCTTAAGGGCACTGCATCCTATGCTGCTGTGCTGCCTCCTGGCTCCCACACAGGAGCTCAAGTCAGCCAGAGCTGTGGCACAGCCTCTCACACAGAGCCCATCCC